TTAAGTAATGAATTAATCATTAAAAATTAAAATTCATAGGATTAATTCTTATATAGAGATGTTGATTTTTCAAATGATGTAATAAGTCGTGCGTTGCACTATTCTCCTTTAAAGGGAAAAAAAAGCCAATATCCAATATTTTGTCAAAAAGAAAATAAATCTAATTATTTAAATTTGTTTAATTCATAATATATATTGTTTAATTTGGATTTGTTGGGATTTAAATTTATTTTGTGTGCAATTTTTTACATAATGACACGTGTTTATAAGATTCGTTTAAGATAGATAGGCTTATATAGTCATTAAGGCTTGGTTTGTTTTTGTAATTCATGCTTAATAGTAATTAATATGATCAAATGAAAGTAGTTAAGTTTATTAATTACTTATTATCATGCTTAATAATATGGAAACTAAAAGTATATGAATATATATGAAGGTAAATTTACATCAAGATTATATATTAATGATTTTAATAATATTATTGAAATTATTAAATATAATTGACTTCCGACTCACCAATGTTCATTGAATTAGTTTGGAAACACCTGAAGGTAATGTCAAATTGCTAAAAGACCTATTATGTTTGGGTAATTACAATAACCCCTCAGTTTTGCTTTGTCTTACTCGTCTGTCCTTATGGTGTCAAATTCACGTACTGAATGAGAGCGTTTTTCCCATAAAAAAAAATTTGTTAAGGAAATGGTAGTAATTATCCAAATAAGAGGGGGTTCTCGTAAATTGATATTATTCGGGATGACCGTAGTTTGCCCTTATTTTGAATTATCTCAACCTAACCAAGTTGATTGATTCTAACCATTTATTAAGATAACAACAACAACAACAATAATAATAATAATAATAATATATCTAATTTTGAATGAATTAAAATATCATATGATTCAAAAATCTGAAATAGGGTAGTGATTTGCTAAATAGAAAATAAATGACAGGGGTTTTTTTTGCCTAAAATAACATGAGGTGGGGTCAAATTGCAATAAACACATCTTCTGCAAATTTAATCTTCTTCAAGCAATTATGGAAAATATCTCTGCAATTTTGGTTGAATTTCTCTGTAAAAAAATGAAGGAGACTTGGCGCAGAGACTGTGTACAGCAGCAGAGCTGAAATTCTACTTCACAAATTTCATCGCAAACACAAAAACATCTTTCCTTAAACCCAACAGGAACTGCAATTTGACGGCATGGGTTTCGGGCTGCGAGCCCGGGTGGGCTTGTAGTGCGGGCTTGGGTCAACCCGTCGATTTCAAAACTCACCAAGTACCGGCCCGATCTTTCAATTGCCAGCCGTGCTGCGAGGGTTTCTTCTGCCCGCAGGGCCTCACATGCATGATACGTAAGCAATTCTCCTTCCCCAATCTTAGTTTTTTCTTCTACAATGTAAAATGTAATGATTGTTTGATTTTGATCTGTTGATTGAATATGAAAAAAATTACCTTTTTTTCTTGAACCATTTACAATTTACAGTAGAATCTCGATAAATTGATCACCTCGTTTAAATAATAATTTATTATGGTCTCGACTCGGTAAAAGCGTAGTATTTTATTAGTTCAATCAAATTGATTTTTCGGTAAATTAATAAAATATTGCTAGTCCGACTGTATTAAATTTGTAGAGGTTTAAGTTTGTAGAGGTTTAACTGTATTTGATTTGTTTTTCACCGTTTGATGATTACTAATTACTTTTTTCATCCTGCATTTGGGACATTGATTCACGTGTAGTATGTGTTAAAACCGAAAACCAAAACCCCAAAAACCCGAAAACCGAAACCAAAACCACAACCCTCTGAAAAGTGAGTTTATAGTGGGTAGTTTGCTAAAAGAAATTGTATCATGAGGAGGTTTTTGCTAATAAAATATCATGGGGAGTTTTTTAATAATTGGAGAAAATGCAGGGGTGACGAATGCAATAAACCGAAAAATCGAAGTGTAAAATTAGTACTATTTGACAAGAAATTATTGACACTAAAATATTGATTTGTTTTAACATTTGTGAAGCTTGTCCGTTGGGTTCGTACTGCCCCATGGCTACATTCAATGTCAGCACAGGATTATGCGACCCGTAAGTTGATATTCCCCGTTACGTCGTTGATATTCAATTATTACATAGATTGTGCAATGTAATAATAATTAATGATTTCTTGGATTTGTAGGTATCTTTATCAATTACCCCCCGGAAAGGCAGATCATACTTGTGGAGGAGCTAATATTTGGGCAGATGTAAGCAGAGGTGGTTCGATGTTCTGTTCGGCTGGTTCGTTTTGTCCGACAAACACGAAACAAATTCCTTGTACTACCGGGTACTAAAACCATATGCATGTCTTAGTGCTTTCGGCTTTTGTACGAGTTTTTTTACTTTCTTGATTTGTACTTGTTTTTTTTCTTGTATTTGAAGTTATTGGTGTTGTGTTAACGCTTATCTTTGAAATTAATTCAGGCATTTCTGCCGCAAGGGATCTACTGCTGAGACACGTAAGTCTCTAATTAATTAAAAGAAAAAACGAGGTCTCTTGTCTGAAAAAAACATCTAATCCATGATGATGAACTTGCAGGATGTTTTAGATTGACTACATGTGATTCCAACACGACGAGGCAGAATATAACTAAATACGGCTTAATGCTGATTGTGAGTTTCTCTTCGTACTTTTGTTCTTTAAGGTCTCTTCGTAGATGGTTAAAAGTACGTGGTAATTATTTTCTTGATTTTACTGTCTGTCAAAAAAAAAAGAGAAATAAATGAAATAGTAGCTACGTTTGCTGCATTCAATCTTTCGAAGAGACCTCTAAAAGTTACCCTTTTTCGATAAGATC